ATGGATGGATGGATGGATGGATGGATGGATGGATGGATGGATGGATGGATGGATGAATGGAAGTTCTAACTGTTTTCACTCACCCCACGACGTTGATCTAACGCTCACCATGCCTGGGGAAAAGATATACGTACATTTTTGAGTAACTATGGCAAGATGCAACTCGTAAACTGGCACCATGGCCGAAAGCTCTGTCAAGAACATACTAAAAGAGAACTAGACTCTAGTCTTTGCTGCTAGGACGACCTCACAAAAATTGCCATTATTGGTGGAATCATTCGCCTATGTGAGCTTGTCCGTGGCTCGAACCCGGGATCTGTACATTAAGAAAAGCGGTCGACTGAAACAGCCGAGGATTCCGATCTGAACATTTACGTTGGTTATGTATAATAGTAATGCGATTTACATATTCAAATGTTTCAGCTTAGGTCTTTTAATAAGAGATGAGACGATTCAATACTGTCAGGAGTGGCTGGGGATGTGCTGGATTACGCCACCACGACAGAAAGATTGGAAAATGTGAAATATACTTATCATGTACATGTATTTCTTACTGTGAGAAATGAACAATTTTCTCTTGCATACAATTATAATACAAGATAAAGATTCCCTTTTTTTGTCCCTTACCCATTTCTAAGAGACTGACGCCATCTGATTAGTAGAAAAAGGTGCGTATGACAGTGTCCAATGGTGTATTACGTGCATACAATTATTATAACATGTTTTAGTGACATTTAGGGATTCAAGGAATACACATGTATGTCAAGGATTTGAGAGCATTGATAAGATAATGATGGTGGTGGTCTGTGGTGAGTGGTGATGTAAGATGGTGTTTATGTAAAGAATTATTTCGGAGATAGGCCTTCAATCACTGTCATTGAAAAAAATGTTAACAGAAGATAAAGATTCTTACTATTATACCAGAAAAACAGATTCCATGTATGCCACTGTGTTAAAGTATGCTAACAACAGCAAAAGCAGCAACAACAACAGCAGCAACAATAATAACAAAATTAAAAAGAACAACAACAATAACAATGGTAAGAATAATATCAGCAACAGCAACAGCAAGAACAATAACAACAATAACAACAACAACAATAACAACAACACCAACAGCAACAATAACAACAACAACAACAACAACAACAACAACAACAACGACGACGACAACAGCAACAATAGCAACAGCAGCAGCAGCAGCAGCAACAGGCGTGGCAGAAGAAACGAGTTGAGAGAACATTCACCTATGTGAAATAATAATATATTAATTTAGAAAACCAAAAACCCAGAAAAAAGGAACCTTAGAGAAACAGTTAACTAGGTGAACTCACTTGTGTATCTATCTATCTATCTATCTATCTATCTATCTATCTATCTATCTATCTATCTATCTAACTATCTATTTATCTAACTATCTAACTATCTATCTATCTATATTATGTACTTCTGTGTCTTGATGTGTATGGGGGGTGTGTGTGTGTGTGTGTGTGTGTGTGTATGTGTGTGTGTTTGTATGTGTGTGTGTGTGTGTTTATGTGTGTGTGTGTGTGTGTGTGTGTGTGTGTGCATGTGTGTGCGCGTGTGTGTATGTACGTTTGAGAGTGTGTGTTTTAATGTATTATCAACTAAAAGGGAAACACTAAAGACATACCTGAAAATAGCAAAACACTCATTAACAAGAATTTGTTCCTGTCCATCGCTGACTTTTTCTAAAAGTTTATTTCTCTGGAAATGCTAAATAACTGAGAGAAAGTCAAATAACTGACAGTATAAGGATTATTATAATTGCTGGGTTTTTTATTTTATTTTTTTAATCACCGCAAATTCACTCAAAACACTGTTTCAACGACCTTGTACGAAATAGTGGAATTATCTGAAGAGTCAGTCGTTATTATGTGAGAGAGTACTAGGCTTTGTCCTATTGTTCTGTCCTCAGTCCATGAAGGAACGGTTTGATGGACCAGCAGCCCCTTAGTGTTACTGGGAGCTCTCTCATCCGGGACTCGGCTATTGAGATAAGCGGAATTTTTAAGGACTGACTGAGCTATGAGGCGTTTGGAGATAAGGGCAAGGTGAAGCAATGTAGAAGGCAGTCAAGTTGGGCTTAGGGTCCCTGTGTTCTCGATAAATTATGTAAACCTTTGTTTTCTTTTAAAAAAAATAGTTTTCTTGGTTTATTTTTGGTTGTTGTTGTTGTTTTTTATTTTTTCTAATATTTTAGCTCGCGTCGAGTTTGTTTTTTTGAAAAAAGGTTTGAAGAAAAGAAAACAAAATCTAAGAATGAAACGATGAACCCTAAAACGAATTAGAATTTTTTCACAAAAAAAAAAATCAAAACCCCTTTGATTTTGCCCAAACTTTGTGTCGTGAACCCC